AAATCCTCCAAGTAAATCTGAATTCAGCCGCCTAAAATACGGAATCCGCGCTATAAGTAGCAATTAAGCTAGATATAGATATTATACTAGTTTAAGAGCCTTTTATTATATGCGATTCAGATAAAATACAATTAATTTCCCACCCCTTATTCACCTAACTCTTCCCAAATAGGCCTAGCCTAGACATCACACCACGCACAATAGCTTATATTGCCAGGTCATACCGCCCTAGAGTCGTCCTAGCCTCAGATTCGCTAAACGATTTAGACTTCTAAGCCCTAGACGTTATAGATCAAGATCACGTGATTAAGATTTATAATATCTATAATAAAAAGCACCAATTACCCGATTCGGACACCCATACGCTAGCCCGATGCCTATAGCAGCTCTTACCGCCTCTCAATTCGGTCTTTTACAGAGACTTTAATACCTATAACCTATAGTAGGACCCCCTATATAAGGCACGTGACAAAGAAAGCAATATGCTAGTAGACTAGATCGACTACCACGATTTAGCCCTCTTAAATACCCCTAGTATTAGCACCTTCCATCGTCTGCATATAGCTAGGCTAATAAATATCAACCTTACGCTAGCGCATCAATCTATAGCCAATCATATTCAGGACTAGGCTATAGTGGATAATATAGGCTCAGACTATTTTAGGATCACATTTACTATTAATAGTTCCTAAATAGGACTAGCAGATCTATAAACTACCCGTTTTAACATAAAACAGGCAGATTAGACCAAATTTAGGGAAAAACTTTTCTACTAGCTATCACCGCTCTAAAACAAGCTATAGGCCTATAGCTACATTTTAAGCTCTAATTTAAGCTTAAAAAGCTTAGAACAAATCAATATAAAATATAGCTATAAAGTAACCCTAGACCGTCTAGATAATATAGTAGAACATTATACTAGCGCCATTTTATACGCTACATATAATACTATACCCCAAATCCAGTTAGCGCTATACGCTAAGCCTTAGTGGAACGATTCACTAAAATCACTTTAATGCGACATAAATTAGGCTAGAGAGGCCTCTAAGTAAGCATTTTCTAGCTAATTAAATAAGCGCTATACTAGCGCCTGTAATATATACTTTTAGGCTATTAAGACGGCTAAAAAGGATTACTAGAACCAGTTTTTAGAAAAAGAGGACTCTAAATCGATTTTTAAAGCCTTAGCCTATATAAAGTTAAGGCGGTTAGAACTAGTCCTAAATCTAAAGCTTTCTACCACCTAATTTGCAACTATATTTACTACTAAATGCAACCTCTTCTACTAGACGCTTTTCCCTTTACCTCTTAAAACAGCTAGCCTAAATTAGATATTATACACTACCTCAGACTAGTAGTAATAGCTAAAGCTAGCACTAGATAAAGTGAAATAAGCCTATTCTAGTGAAATCAAATCCACTAGCCCCGCCCTAGACTATATCACTTAGACTATTATTACCTATGCATTTTTAGCATGCCCTTCCTAGATTTCACTCCTTTTTAAGATGCTAGTAAATACTAGCTATTATCTGAAGTGCTAGCGCTAAGCGAATTGCGCTATACTACGAAAAAATAATAAGCTAGACTATAAATAGCCTAGCGCGTATTAGCCGATTTCACTTCTAAATTGCCTAGGTAAAGTGAGTAAAAGGATCCTAGCTAAGCAACTAGCTTACTTAGCTGAAACTACACCAAATCTGCTACATCCTAGCTAAATCAGTGGCCGACTTAAAAAGTCAGCTATAGACATAGGCGCTATGCTAGCGGATTATATCTATACAAATCGGCTATGAAACAAAATTACTAGTACGCTTCTACTAGACGTAAAAGGGGCATACAACTATATATCTAAGAACCGGCTACTTATAATTCTTAAGGATTTAGCCTTTCCCGATTTAGTTATTAAGTAGGTCTTATCCTTTATAAGCAGGCGGTCACTTAAGCTTCTATTTAACAGATAATCAGATAAAAACTAGCCTATTTAGACCGGAATCCTATAAGGAAGTCTAATTTTGCCTATCCTTTTTCTAATCTATATATAGGGCCTATTTAGGTTATATGCAGTTAAATTTATCTCTTATATAGATGATATTACTCTCTCTTACATATTAACTAGCCCCTACAAAAACATTAAGATACTATAGCTAGTAGCTAAAGAGCTATTTCAGCTAGCTAGTAAAAACATAATCTAATTTAACCTGAAAAAGTCTAAACTAATTCACTTTAGTACAGGCAAACGCGCTAAGCTAGCATCTCTTATACTCCTAGATAGAACTATAGTCCCCCTAAAGCAGATAGTTAAGTGGCTTAGCATTTACTTTAACGCTCTATTATAATTTAAGGAGCATATCACTATCTGCACTACTAAGGCTAAGTCCGCATTTAGACATATATCCAGGCTAGCTAATAGCAAACAAGGGCTTAGTCCCACTACTTTCAGATAGCTATACCTAGCTTATATTACTAGCATATCTAACTATGCATCACTAATTTAGTAGTAAGGCTAAGTATATATAAAAGACCACCTATAGCACCTCTAAAATTTAGCACTACGCAAAATCCTAGGCACTTTTCAGACTAGTCCAATTCAGGCCATAGAGGTGGAAGCTAGCCTCCCACCGCCCGCAATACAGCTAGACACAGCTACATGCAAATACGCTTTTCGGCTAGCTAAGCTAAGTCTAGACTATCTAGTAAATCGCTAAATTGCTAAATCTAGCTACTTAGGATACGGACTTTAGACAATTGCTAGGACTATTGCACCTCTACTTAGCAGCAAAATCAAACCTATATACCACTTCCACTTTACCCCTTAGAACCGCTCTATCCCCTAGGATATATAAATTACCAAATTACTAAAAGAGGAAACTGCTATAATACACTACTAGCAAATATAGTTACAATCGCCAAATTAGGTATTATACTACTTAGACAGGTCGCAAATGCCTAAAAGCACCGGAATTAGAGTGGGACTAGCAGGCTACAAATGCACTAGTCCCCCTTTTATACGACTAGCCCGAAATATAGGTCCCCACCAAATCATCTATAATAGAGAGCTAGAAGGCATTACCCTAGCATTTAAAGATGCGACAAGACTAGGCCTAAATAGGGATATTCAGATATACATAGATAACCAAGCAGCTATTTATAGGCTAGCGCGGCCTTCCAATAATCCGGGCTAAATTCACTAGTTACGCGCTATTGCAGCTGCCACTAAAATAGCCTAAAACAGATCCATGCTAGCAATAGAGTGGGTCCCTAGATACTAAGACATTAATAGAAATAAAGAGGCGGATAAACTAGCTAAATTAGGGTCCAAATCACTTCCGACCACCTAGACCGCCCTAGCTGCCCACATAAGCTATGCCTATATAGGCATAAAAATTAACTAAATACGACGGCATATATAGGCGAATGCTCTAGCTAGTAGTAAAGGCTACTACTTTAACTTCTTTAACCCACGAATTCACTCTTAAATATAGCTTCCCAAAACGGCTAGATTAACTGCTAGCGCCTTTTACCAGCTTAAGCTACGACACGGCTACTTTAGGATATACCTAAAACAATTTGATAAAACACCCACTAATCACTATATATATAGTCACAAGCCTAAATCACTATAGCATCTTATACTATAATGCCCCGAATATAGTGAAGAACGCAAAAGACTAAAAGACAATGTCCTATTTAGGCTTAGCATGCTTAGCCTATTCAAGACGAAAATTGGATGCCAGCATCTGCTAACCTTTTTAGGTGAAACGGGCATTAGTACCTGCAAATAGCGGCTTAAATAGGCAGAATTCGATGATAACTAAGTAATACACTACTTAGAAGTCTCACCGCCTACCTCCACTGGCCGAATCTATCGATTTTTCCTAATTTTAGCTTAGAATGCATAAGAGCGCGATTGCAGCATAAGAAACAGCTATGCTAGCCGACCGCCTTCGCTTTCTACCACTCCCTGATTTATTTTTTATTTATTAGTTATGCGTTTTTGGGGCTCTAGGGAATTTTTATTATTATAGCGTTATTGCTTTATGGACCTAGTCCGCATTAGGCTTAGTCCCACAGATTCCAACCGGAAACATATTAACATATCTCTTAACTGTATCACTAGCCCGCGCTAGCATTAGGCTAGCGCCGTCCTACATAGTCTTAGACTCACATAGGACGTTAATGGAATAAATAAATAAATAAGCATATATTATAATATATAGCTTAGAAGTCTTACTGCCTACTTCTACTAACTAAATCTATTAATTTTTCCTAATTTTAGCTTAGAATATATAAGAGCGCGATTATAGTATAAGAAATAGCTATGCTAGCTAACTGCTTTTACTTTCTGCTACTTCTTAATTTACTTTTTATTTATTAGTTATATGTTTTTAGGGCCCTAGAAGATTTTATTATTATAGTGTTATTGCTTTATAGACCTAGTCTGCATTAGGCTTAGTCCTATAGATTCCAACTGGAAATATATTAATATATCTTTTAACTATATTACTAGCCCGCGCTAGCATTAGGCTAGCGCCGTCCTACATAGTCTTAGACTTATATAGGACGTTAATGGAATAAATAAATAAATAAATAAATAAATAAATATACGATTTTAAAGCTTTAGAAGACTTTTTATTATAGCGTTATTACTTTATAGACCTAGTCCGCATTAAGCCTAGTCCTACAGATTCCAACCGGAAACATATTAACCTATCTCTTAACTATATCACTAGCCTGCGCTAGTATTAGGCTAGCGCTTCTTCTAACTATGCTTTCAACTATTCCTACACTATTCACCTAGCTCCCGGATTGGATGATTGAGAACTGCAGCCAAAGTCGGTGGTTAATCCAGGCATTGCATTTGCTACAAGGGGATCTTACGCCATTTCCCTACACCTGAAACACGCCTCGCCATTATTTCTTGCGGTAATTCCATACCCAAGATAGCTGGCAAAGCTAAATAACAACTGTGATCTAGATCCAGCATCCCGCATCTATCACGATCAACCCTCAACGCGCTTCTCCTCATCAAACCTCACCGCGTGTTGGAAATAATAACCTCTCTGATTCGTAACAACCCGCTTCCCACTTCCCTTTTCAACAAAATCGCAATTAAAATGCGTGTGTCCAAAAGCCCATGCTACCACATTCCCGCTAGTCCAGCAGAGCTCACCAGATAAATCGCTAGCAAAGCCCGACGAGATCCTGCTTTGGGAATGTGCAGGATCGACAGCTGCGGGAGAAATACTAGGGCTATGATGAGTGAGAATAATGACTCGGCGCTCTGGCTCATTATCCGTGATCGACGTAACTTCCGAGTTCAGCCACTGCAAGTTCTCAGGGTTAGTATTGCTTTATTAGAAAAGATCTAGGCAGTTCGCGAGCTCCAGTACTTATTTTGAATATCTCGGGAGTTTTGAGACAAAACAAAAAAGATTTGAAAACATGCGAAGCAAGCCAACATAGAAATTCAATGCTCTGGAAATTTGCTTACAGCCAAGTCCGCGGTAAAAGCTTCGTTGTGCTGCTCCACGGTCCAATCTTGAATATGGTAGAAATCATTTAGACCGAAGCTGACGTCGTTCATCTGAGATGGTGGAATTTTGGAAAACAGCGTACAGCCCAAGATGGTGAGTTTAGGGGAAAGGTCGAATCGAGTCTGATCTAGAAAGACGAATGATGCGAGGTTTTGGGAAACTTTCTTTTCCCTAACTTCTTGCTCGAATTTTCGAATTTTTTGCTTGGCATTTGTCCAGTCACTGTGGTACGGCTCGTGATTGCCGAGGAGAAGGAAGACAATCTTGTAGTTGGACAAAAGTTGCTCGAGGAAAATAAAGTACTCTGCGTCCTTTACACATCCGATGTCGCCGAGGAGAGCCAGGTGTGGTGATGTTGGGATGATTTCAAAGACATCGTAGCTTTTGGGGGTTTCGAGATGAAGATCCGAAAGAATCTGGATTGTAGACATGTTGGTGCACTTTTGGAAAAGGTGAGGAATGTGTGCCTTTAAGTAGGTATGTGCTTGCCGCCCGAGCTATCCCATATACGGCTCCTGCCTAATTATTGTGCGTAAGAGGCACGAGAAGATATAAATGATTTGCGAAATGCGGATTATTCAGACTACAACTTGTGATTGGATACAGGCTCAAAACTAAACGTTACAACAAGACACATTCTCAAATGATGACGATACTCCACCAGGCACCGACCTCAAGTAAGACTCAAAGACCGAGGCGCTCCCTCCACCATCTTTCATCCTTTCCTGAGTGCGCAACTACATCACTAAGCCCCATTTCAGTCGCGGACTTTTGCGCTGGCTGCAGTCTCAGCGGAGCTGTCCGGGACTCCCTCTCCAACAGAACTCGGGCATCTGTGGCATCGCGACGTCGTTTCTGGTTATCTGCTCGCAGTCCGCAGGAGCTGATCTTGAAGACTATGAGATCCACTGCAGAAATATATGGAACCGTTCCATTCGCAATAGTGCTGATGACTCGAGCAGCCTGTGGGAGATATGGGGACTTCAGTTCCGCACATTAGCCTCGGCAATCAGACAAAAGGGAAGAGGTGAAATTCATTTACCTGCCAATCTGCACAAATGTCGATTTGGATAAGCTTCCCACTCAACAGTTTGTAGTAGAAGAACTGAGCTCGCTGCTCGAAAGTGTTGGGATACAGACTTAAAAGCCTGTTCTTCACGCCCGCCGGAGCGCTCTGTAAATTGACAACCAAATCCACATCCTTCATTGAGAGTAAGTGACCAGAAATCACAATTTCATGGGTGGGAATCAAATTTTGAACAGATACATACATCAGTAGTGCGGCCTTCGGGCACATACTTCCACAGGGCAAGTCCCCCAAACACCGCTACACGAGCACTTGCGAACTCTGGCACGCTCTTCAAGATTTGGATGACATCCGAAGCAGCGCTCTCAAGCTCATTACGAGAGTAAGACATGGAGAATTTTGAATAAATTTTGAAATTGAAAACAATATAAAAAGATTGATTGGTTTGTGACGAGTACTGCCATTGTAACACGAATGAGTGGCTCTCTTATATACCAGCTTCATGTAACACACGCACGATATTCCAGCTGCCCTTGAGCGTGCTGCTTCTATACGCGCGCGACAACTGGGTCACCTCGCTAGTAGGAATTAGAAACTATCCACATCACCTGCGCGGCAAACCTCACCTGACGGTTGCATTGAAGGCCGCAGTTTAGGATGCTGATAGAGCGCTTTATTATGAACCTGTAAGCCCGTACCATGAAGGCCAAGCATGAGAATCGTGTGGTTGCTGTCCTTCAAGCCCAAAGTTGATGGCCAGTTAAGAGTAGATGAATTCACCCCAGAAAAGGATTGTCAAATGCAGGGCAGAGCGACGACTTCGACAATAGGTGTTCGTTGGCCAATTTGTTGGACCTGAAGTCTGAGGAATTCATCGACCAGAAAGCGCAAGTGTTTTGTATCCATCTGCGGAGCCCTTACATAGACGCTGGGGTCTAGAGCATTCATGCCAGGTGTTGGGCCTTGAGCCCGGAGATTCGAGCTATTCAGATCAATACCGGTACCCAGGAAGCGCCGGAAGTCGGCCAGGTCTTGAGACTGAGCAATCAGGATGATAACTCTACGAAGAGCTAGAAATACCGGAAGGCGCTTGCAAGTTTCAATAAGCTCCCGATATGTGGACCAGACGATGGCAACGTCCTGAACATAAGCAGAAATAGGGTTCAAGGCAGCGATACAAGTGCGACTAAGATGACCGTGGCCGAGGTAGAAAATCGTCTTTGAGAAGTCAATCCAGGTCGCAAAGAGGGGCGAAGGATCCAGAGCAGCGGCAAATTCAACTCTATAACGAGCTTTGCTCATCAGTCGCCAAGCTTCTTTGCAAGTTTGAGCGACGGACGAATGATCTGGGGATATGATGGGCCGCCCACCGGCTTGGCAAAGCCCCATGTTATCCGTGTGTGATAGGAACCCCACTACAACGGGGTCTGAGAAGGCAATGCTCCATATCTTAAAACGTAGTTCGGTTGGAAGGGTCGAAAATAGAGGGAAGGAATCGTTGACCGCCATATTCGGTACAGTAGTTTGGTACTGTCTATTCGGGGACCGCCTTAGCTTCCTCTGCACGTTGCTCCAAATCGAGTTACCTGTTGCAATCCTTTGGACGTTGCATCAGCTGTTTGGATTCCAGGTTGAGGGGAGGGGAAGGGTTGTCGCTAAGCGCGCGGCATTAGATGAAGGGGGCCGTGCCGTTTAGTACGTTGACCGAGAGCACTATGGAATGCAACATCGACCCAGCAACCGGAAGCAAATAGAAATAGGTACTGCTGTCCTTCGCCAGCTTTGCGACATCTTCTGTTCACTGTTCTGTTAGACACATCCGTCAAGTAGATCTCCGATGTCCGTCGTACCTTCGAAAATTCGAGTTCGTGTTGAAGCGGAACATGCAGTACCACGAGACTCACCCGCTCTTGACACAACAGTCATCGACGAGAACCTCGTCGCCTCCATTTCTCAGCTCTTGATTGGCAATAGCATCCCCTGCATTTTATGGGGAAATTATCTTCTTACTGTATATGGAGTTCCGTCAATTGTTAATGTGAGTTCTTGACTTACTCTATCCAGACCACGGTGTTGACTTGATTTAGTCGATCGATTTTATGGTTCCCGATGAAAAGGTTGCGGCATCAGTATCAGCGCTTCTAAATACTGGCTTAGTGACTTGTAGTGAGCCAAAGACATGCACTGTCGTGGCTGAATCACGGTCATCGCCTCCTCCTGCAGCTCACTTCCACATCGACTCGGAGCTTACAATATGCATATACAAGAAATCGTCGGCATTTTGGTTTCTCTCAAGCTTAGAACTATCTTGTACATCGAGAGTTCAGCCGGCAGATATCATCTTGGCTTCTGATTCCCGTCTTCCAGCCCCACGACCGGGCAGGGGACATGGCCGTTTTAAAGCAGGCACCTTCCCTGTATGCATTCCGAGTGCACACCGCCTTCTAGAAGCATACCTTCGACTTATTGCAAAGCCACAAGAACCCGATTATGAGTGTTTCTGGATGTCCATGGAGATCTACATTGAGGAATATGTGGACAAAGATGGATATTTGGATGAAGCTGCTTTAGATAGTCGGTGTAGAATGTTCTATTCAGCCTTCAAGGCCTGCGAGAAACCAATCAGTGAGATCCTTGCAGATATTAAGGACAGTCCTTTATCTGTGGAATGATATCTCAGAATAGTAACAAGTTCTCCATGATCATTAGCATCGCAGTGCCGGTAAAAGTCGCAGCATCTTTCGAAACAGGCACGTTTCTAACGTTGTAAGTCTTCGTTTCACATATCCATGGCGAGGAGATAGTCGTTTCTGAGGGTTTCTACATTCCATTACTTCACAGTTTTCAAGTGATGCAAAGAAATGCGCTAGCCAAAAAAGCTCTAATTCATTAACTCATCTCATGGCTTTTCCTTTCCGTTCCAAAACACACCAGAGACACCTCTTTAAATTGGTATCTGCAATAATTATAAAGAGAATACAGAATTAGAATCGAAGAACAGTGTTACGCAAACTCCTCCCCATCCGTCTCATCTCACCGTCTACCTATCTCAAAAGCTAGATTTAAAAAACCACTGCAACCAAAGCAGCAGCGACACCTGCAAACCCAAGACCCTCGTTGTTTGAAGCAGCGTCAGTGAACTGCACTGGACCTGTAGGCACAGGCCTTGGCTGCTCATGGCGCAGACGTAGCAAGGCATGGTTGGAATTGGGGTGTTGTAGATTGGCTTCTGGTAGGTTGAGCAAACGCGTTTTGTTGTGTAGGTGACTTGGATACGTTAATATCTGCACTTCTGGAGTTCATATTGAGAAGTGTTGACTTACTGGCTGATCCAGGAGCAACGGTGCTACAGCTTTCAACAACTGTGACGGAAACAATAGCCCCCGTATCAGCAGTAACCCGCCGCGGAAGGAAGTGCTTAATAAAGGTATCGATCTTAGCGTATTGCAGCATTATATTCTAGACCGCATCGCTCATATTACATGCTCATCTATATTTAGCAGGCCTTTGCAGCAGGGAGAAGATACTAAAAGCTATAAGAGATAAACCGCTCTAGTTAAATATATTGCCTGCACTATATTAGAGACTATATAGACAAGTGATCTAGGGAAACCCTATGCGCACTCTAAGCTTCTTTATCTATAGCAAGAGTATAGAGTATAGCAACTACTAGTCTAATAAGATCTCCTATTCATATAATATATTAATAGACTTGCAGAAGACTATAATATTAGCTATTTCTAGTTTTAGATGCAAGGGTAACTACTTATAGCTAGGCCGAATATCTAATCCGCTAATATTCTCAGCAGATCTAAGATCTAGGGCTAGAAAAGCTTTATTAGTAAAAAGGAGGCCAAGCAGGTAATATGCAGAGTAAGAACTAGTAACAGGTCGAATATAGTCTTAAGAAGTGGGATTATATTTCTAGTTTCTCTATAAGCAGATATATCACATAGTAAAGCCGAAGAAGTAGAGGAAGGAAGGGAAAAGAATACAATTAACTTATGTATCTTTTATGTCGAGATATTCTTTCGTGAATTCAAGTTGATTTAAAGGACACTTATCAGATCCTTAATATATATTACTATCTTTATTACAATTACACTTAGATAGGCCAGAACTAGATGTGCGAATATAACTTAGAATATAAAATAGAGAGCTAAGTATAGTGGAGGTTACTAGAGTTTAATATAAAAGCTGCTTAGTTAGCTCTATTATATAACTAGTTATATAAGACTATAATACTACCTCTTCTTAAGAAGAGAAAACGCTTAACCTTAAGCCTAAAATTACTCTCTTTTAGATATCTAATTAGAATTATTATATAGCGCTTATACTAGTATTCTGCTATTTCTAATATCTATCTCTTTTCCTCTACTAAATAGCTCTAAGGGGTATACTAGA